AGTTGAACATAATGGGAAAAGCCAAAGACATCTGGCAGACAATAAAGCAAACTTGCATATTCACAGGCAATTCCAGTGGAATGCTCTGTAATCACAGGACTGGATGAAATCAGGGAATAAAGGTCAACTTTTTTTTTTTTTTTTTTTTTTTTTTTTTGGTTAATTCTATTTAAAGCCCCGTGAATTAGAAGATTGGTGCAGCAAGTTGTGCTGCAGAGTATTTGAGATGTGATTAACTCCCAGAACAATCACAGTGGAAACTCTCCCAACGCTCCCAGGGCTCCAGAATCCTGCAGGAGCCCAGCTCTGGCACAGCAGCAAAATATTCTAATAAGAACTCTCCTAATCTTCACCCAGCAATAATTTCAAGATGATATTATTATTCTCATTTCCTTGAATAATATCCATACTCCAGGGCCATTTTCCTCCTCATATTCAATATCAGGCATGCTCCTATCAAGATTCCTTTCTTCATATCCTGTCACAGTATCAATCACTGCCTGCTGTCCACTCAATCCACTTTTGATTTATCAGCCACCGTCTTCCTGGACTCCATAACTCGACCCAAACCATTTTAGCACGACAGTGACAAATAACAGGCAGGATCACATCAACCTGTTCCACTTAGTAAAGTCGGGAACAGGAACTGTGACATCCCTCCATCAGCATTCCCTGCTATTCCCCAGCCTGATGTATATTAATGAGGAGCTGCTAGTCGAAATGCTCCTTCCTAACATCAGCATCTAATATGATCAAATTAAGAAATGGGATGATTTATTAAATTCTGAGCAGCTGAAAAATATTTCCATGGCCCTAGCTCAGGATGTAAAGAAGGGGAGCTGTTGCTTCCAATTTTTCCACGGGAGGACGCGGCGGCGTTTCGCCGGCGAATTATTGGCTTTCCAAAGATTGCGAGGAGGCAAAATGTTATTAAGCAAATGCTCAGTAAAACAAACTAAATCGGTTTTAAAATTCCTAATTTAATGGAAATCTCGGTTCTTCCTGCTGAAATTCAGTTTGTGATCTTATTAAGTCCTATTTGCATTGTACTCTCTCTCCCCCCCTCCCCTCCCCGCCTCGCTGTAGGACAGCTCGGAATTTATAGCATTACTGGGAAGCTCCACTTCTTTTTGACTTGAAAAATGCATCTAAAATAGAATAATTACAATATGCACAAGTTTTCTTATGCACCCAAATAAAGTACAAGCAATACTGGGAAGCTCCACTTTTTTAACTCTAAAAATGAATCTAAAATAGAAAAATTATTATATTACAGGTTTTCTTATCCCTTCAAATTAAACACAACCAAATACTGGGAAGCTCCACTTTTTTGACTTGAAAAATGCATCTAAAATAGAATAATTACAATATGCACAAGTTTTCTTATGCACCCAAATAAAGTACAAGCAATACTGGGAAGCTCCTTATTTTTGACTTGAAAAATGCATCTAAAATAGAATAATTAGAATATGTACAAGTTTTCTTATGCTCTCAAATCAAAACACAACCATTAATGGGAAGCTCCACTGTTTTAACTCTAAAAATGAATCTAAAATAGAAAAATTATTATATTACAGGTTTTCTTATCCCTTCAAATTAAACACAACCAAATACTGGGAAGTTCCACTTTTTTGGCTTTAAAAATGCACCTAACATACAATAATTATGATCTGCACAAATTTTCTTATCCTCTCAAATAAACTACAAGCAATAGGGGGAAGTTCCACTTTTTTCACCCTCAAAATCTGCATCTAAAATAAAATACCCAACACACACAATTTTCTTTAGCTTCTCAAATAAAACACAACCATTAGTGGGAAACTCCCACTTTTTTCACTCTTAAAAAATGCATTGAAAATAAAATAATTATGATATGCACAAGTTTTCTTCTCCAAAAAAAAAAAAAGCAGAAGAAATCAGTTTAGGTTATAAACAACACTTATTTTAAATATCTTACACTTGGCATTATAAAAAAATCCAACTTTTCAAAGTTAAACTTGATCTGTCTCAAGTGTTTTGTACTGTTGGAGATGTGTAAATCACCTGCTCCAATAAAATACCTGTGCTGGAGAAATTATTAAAAAAAAAATAATAAAAATACATTCCTTTTAACACCACCTTGAACATGAAATTAAAATAAAGGATTGTGGGGATAGAAAATATTCCAAGATACAGAATGTGTGCAACCTGAATGATTTCTATCCAAAAATAATTCCAGGGATTTAAAGAGAGCAAAGAACAAACCTTCACTTCCAAAGGGAAGGTAATTTTCTAGAGGTAGATTCATAATAAATAAAATAAAATAAAAATTCAAGATGGCATTTGCTGGGCTCCTAAATGGGATAATTCTCTAAAGGTGCAGCATGAACAAACCCAGGGCTCATTTTTTTTCCCCTTTTATTACAAATTTCCAGGTGGGGCAGCAGCTTTTCCTTCCCCCCAAAAAAAGTTGGAGATGAGCAGGAAAATTCCCCTGGAAAATTCCCCCCATTCCAGCCCACAGGAGCACAAGGAGCTGCCTGAGTTGCTCCTCATCCTTTTATTAATTATTAATTATTTACTGACAGGGGGATCCCTCAGCATTTTTTTTTTTTAATTTACTCATGGGGGGGTCCCTCAGCATTTTATTTATTTATTTACTGACAGTGGGATACCTCAGCATTTTTATTTTTTTTTTTATTTACAGGGGGATCCCTCACCATTTTTATTTTTTTTTCATTTATTTACTCACAGAAGGATCCCTCTGCATTTTTTTTATTTATTTATTTACTGACAGGAGGATCCCTCAGCATTTTTTTTATTTATTAACTGACAGGGGGATACCTCAGCATTTTCTTTTTTTATTTACAGGGGGGGTCCCTCAGCATTTTTTTTTTTTACTTATTCACCTTGAAAAACCCCAGCAAAATAAGTTGTCTCAGTCTGAACAAAGTGAGGAATTCCAGATGGAATTGATGAAAACTCCATACCAGATATATTTTTATCCCTATAAATCTATTTTTCATACATTTTCCATGAGTGTCACACCTGCCCCAGCTCATGCACAGGCAGATTTGGGGAACCTTCAATCTTGAATCACCTTTCCCCATCATTTTGATTTTTAGGTTTATTTTTCTTTCCCCTCCATCACATTCCTTCTCTCTCCCCCACAATCTCTTTTCCAGCCTGAAGAATCCTAAAATCTTTGGAAAGCTGGTGAGCCCTTGGGTTGAGTAATTTTGAGGTAAAAAAAATAAAAATAAATTAAAAAAAAAGATTATTTGGCATCACTACAAGAGCCCAGCACTCACAAACAGGGCAAGCCCAGGCCTGGAGCAGCAGCTTTGTGTAAAAATTAAGATTTAACTCTCTAAAAAATCAGATTAATCCACAGCTGCTCAGAAAAAAAAAAAAAAAATCACAATAAAGGATGGAATGTGTTTTGTTGGGTTTAATTTTAAGCTTTTGGATTCTTTTGGGATCATTTAGGATTTTATTTATCAATATTTGCCCTCTGTGAGTGTGAATATTTAAAATATTGAAAGGGATGTGCAGCTCTGCCCCTCTGGTGCTGCACACTCAATATATGAAATATTTGATGAAATAACCAAATACACAAAAACTCCTGAGCCCTCAAATTTTGGACACATTCTATTTTCTAGCAGTAGCCACTGTTTTTCAAGTTTTTAGGCACCTAAATTCCATATATTGTAACCATGATTAAAATCAAATCCTATAGAAAAGATGACCACTAAACTAGTGAGATCTGCAATTTTTATTTATTACTTATTATTTTATAGCAATTAAATCATAACTAATGAGGCCTGTAACTTACTATGTATTGTTTTATTAAAATAAAAAGCATTTTAAATCAGTTTATCACACCTGTTAACACTGAGTATGTGACACACTGAAAAAAAAAAAAAATCTTCCTTTTCACCTCATTTTTCTGACATTTCTGTGGGTTCAAACTGATTTTCTTAGCAAAAAGAAGTGGATATGATGGGGAAGGATACTCCAAAAGAGGTCAGGCAGTTTAATTTCTAAATTTATTTTAAAAATCTAAATGATCAAATTTCTACCACAAAGGCACAGCTGCAATAAAGGGTCCAAGCAACTCTTCCAGTGAACAGCTGGGAATGAGTCATGGCACAAGAGAAATAAGAAAAAGTGGAATATTCACATCTTTCAACAACAATTTTTCAACATTTAAAAGTAACAGCTCTCCTGGTTTGGATATGGAAAGCAAAGGTTTAAGAAATTCTAAGTGCAGGCACAAAAAAAAAAAATAAAAAATCAGCTGGTGGAGATTTTAAATATGTGCCCAAACTGCTCTGATCTACCCAATAATTAATTTAAAATGACCAGAAAATGCTAATGAGAAACCTGGTATCCAGGATAAACTTCAGTTAAACTTTTTAATTGAAAAAGTCACACAGACACAACTGGAGCATCTTTTAATTGAAGAAGAAAAGCAGATTTTGTAATACTTTTTGCAACTTCTGGTTAAGATTTAAATATTAAAATCGTGAATTATTTGTTTGTCACAAACCAATGCATGCAAACTTGCACTGTAGACATCCTTAAATATTAATAAAAGATCACATAAATAAAGACTCATCTTTTCCCAAGAGAAACACAGGTGAGAGAAAAATCAGTTTATTCTGAACTTCACGCAGCCAATGGCATGTGTGGGAATCATGGAAAGCAAGAACCAAAAAAAAAAAAAAAAATCCATGAGAAAATTCCAAATTATTCTATGACACTAAGAGAACCTATTTATATAATTTTTGTTGAAATAAATGCAAAATAAATATCTTGCCTTCAAAATTGTTCCACCAGGCCAACAGAAAGATTGGGAAGCACTCGAGAGACCCCAACTGAGGAATTTCATTTTAAACTGAGATTTCAACATCACCTGCAGCCATCACTTCCATTTATTCCAAGCTCAGGATTTTCCAGGAGAGTTTTTTTTGAAGTAGAAATTTGATTTTTTTTTTTTCCCCTAGGAGGGGCCACTCTTACCTCCTGGCTCTGCTCTTGGAGCGGGATCTTTGGGATCTGTAGGATTTCCCTCTGCCCCGGGAGCGGCTGCGCTTCCTCCTGGAGCCGTAGGAAGAGCTGCTGCTGGATCTGTGTCTGCGCCTGCAACAGAGCCAGGGTGAGGTGCTGCAGCCCCCAAAAACACCCCAAAAACCCCCCAAAAAAACAGGGACAAACCCCCCCCAATGATTCCTGACAAAACAGAGCCAGGGTGAGGTGCTGCAGCCCCAAAAACCCCAGGGAGAAACCCCCCAATAATTCCTGAAAGAACAGAGCCAGGGTGAGGTGCTACAGCCCCAAAAACCCCAAAAAGACCCAGGGAGAAATCCCCCNAAAAAACAAACAAAAAAAAAAAAACCCAAGGACAAACCCCTCAATGATTCCTAACAAAACAGAGCCAGGGCAAGGTGCTACTGCCCCCCAAAAAAACAGGGAGAAACCCCCCCCAATGATTCCTGAAAGAGCAGAGACAGGGTGAGGTGCTACTGCCCCAAAAACCCCAGGGAGAAACCCCCCAATGATTCCTGACAAAACAGAGCCAGGGTGAGGTGCTACAGCCCCAAAAACCCAAAAAAAAACCCAGGGAGAAACCCCCCAATGATTCCTGACAAAACAGAGCCAGGGTGAGGTGCTGCAGCCCCAAAAACACCAAAAAAAATCAGGGAGAAACGCCCCCAATGATTCCTGACAAAACAGAGCAAGGGTGAGGTGCTACTACCCCCCAAAAAAACAGGGAAAACCCCACCACCTATTCCTGACAAAACAGAGCCAGGGTGAGGTGCTACTGCCCCAAAAACCCCCAAAAACACAGGGACAAACTTCCCAATAATTCCTGAAACACCAGAGCTAGGGTGAGGTGCTACTGCTCTCAAAAACCCCCAAAAAATAGGGAGAAATCTCCCAATATTTCCTGAAAGAACAGAGCCAGGTTGTGCTACCGCCCCCAGAAAACCAGGGAGAAATCCCCCAACAGTTCCTTACAAAACAGAGCCAGGGTGAAGGGGTACTTCCCCAAAGACCCAAAAAAAAAAACAGGGACAAACCCCCCAATAATTCCTGAAAGAGCAGAGCCAAGGTGAGGCTGGTACTGCTCCCAAAAACAAGGACAAACCCCCAAGAATTCCTGACAAAACAAAGCCAGGGTGAGACTAGTACTGCTCCCAAAAACCAGGGACAAACCCCCCAGTAATTCTTGACAAAACAGAGCCAGTATTGCTCCCAAAAACCCCAAAAAAACAGGGAGAAACCCCACAATAATTCCTGACAAAACAGAGCCAAGGTGAGGCTGGTACTGCTCCCAAAAACCAGGGACAAACCCCCCAGTAATTCCTGACAAAACAGAGCCAGGATGAGGCTGGTACTGCTCCCAAAAACCCAAAAAAACCAGTGAGAAACCCTCCCAATAATTCCTGACAAAGCACAGCTAGAGGTGAGAGTGGAACTGCTCCTAAAACCCCCAAAGAACAGGGACAAACCCCAACAATTCCTGAGAAAACGTGTACAAACCTGAGGGGGATTGTGGGGTGCTCCAGAAGCTTCAAATCCCATTATTGCCCCATAGCAAATAATCCACATGCACAGGGACACTGCTGCCCTAAAGGGGTGATCCTCCAACCTCGCCATCCCAAACAAAAAATGAAGTTTGGGTGGAGTCCTTAACTACTATTAGTAGTAATCGGTTAATCAAGGTTAATTTATTTCATTAGAGTTCATTTAAGGGCAGTTCCCTCCTGAGTCCAATCAGGAATCAAAAGGGTCTTTTCCTTTTCCCTTCCTTCCCAGCTTTGTTTATTCAAAGAAATAAATTCTTCTACACCAAGGAGAAAGATGAAAGAAAAGATATTTAACCCAAAATCCAAATCTTAACATTTCCTTTCCATCTCCCCAGTAGTTAACTAATTAACAATTACAACCCTCCCTATTTTTGGCCTTTATGTTGTGATTAATATTAAAATACAACACCACAGAAAGCCTGCTGGAATTGAGGATGTGCTCAGTGATTATTCCAGCCTGAGGGAAAGGGGCTGCAGGAGCTGGAATGCTGCAAAGGATGCAGAGCTTAAGTGCTGAAGAACATCACAGGGAATGTGATGTTCCTGCTGGATGAGGGACAGGAATTCCACAAACTGCTGCCTTTGATTCCTGAGGGTCAGGGAACACAGCCTGAACTGCCAGGAGCCCTGCCCCAAGAACAAAGCCAAAATCCCAAAAGCAGGGCCTTGGATCTTTGCTGGATTCAGTTTGGGTGTCCTGGTGTCCATCCAGCCCCCAATCCCCTCTGGTTTTCCATGGCTGTGCTGGAATTAGGGATTGAAGCTGCTCATGGCTGGGGTCACAGCCCATGGCACCCTGGGGAGGATGGAGATCCCAGCAGGAACAGGACAAAAGGTTGGGAATAAAGCCCTGAGATTCCCTCCTCACCCCAGAAAGGTTTGGCAGGAGCATTTCCTCCTGGATTTTCAGGGCACCAGAAATGTTTTCCAGCTCCACTTCCCAATAAATTCAGCCAGACTGAGGCCAACAGCATGGAGCCACAGAAATGCTCCAAGGGCTGGAGCCAGGCTGGGAGAGCTGGGAATGTTCACCTGGAGTGGAGAAGGATCCAGGAGAGCTCAGAGAGGGACTGGGGACAAGGGATGGAGGGACAGGACACAGGGAATGGCTTCCCACTGCCAGAGGGCAGGGATGGATGGGATACTGGGAAGGAATTCCTGGCTGGGATGGAATTCCCAGAGCAGCTGTGGCTGCCCCTGGATCCCTGGAAGTGTCCAAGGCCAGGCTGGATGAGCTGGAACACCCTGGGATAGTGAAAGGTGTTCCTGCTGGGAGAAGAAAGGAAGATTATTTTATCTCCTGGAGTTTCTCTGGTTTAAAGCAGAAGTTTCCTTTGGATCTGCACATTCCCTGCTTTATTCTCCTGGGGTGGGGGGAAGGAGGTGTGGGTATTTCTGGTCACGGTGCTGGGTTGGGGGTTTTATTTTGAAAACATTTCCACATCTCTTAAAGTTCAGAGCAATCTGTGCCATAAAATCCCAACCCTTGGGATTCCAACCCTTCCATCTTCCTGCCGTAACACGAAAGATCCCAACTTGTAAAAACTCCTACAAATGCACCTTTTCTCATAGGAATGGGACCAAGACTGGAGATCCCGGGAGCGCGACCTTGACCTGGATTTCCTTCCCGATTTTTTGCGGCTGTAGCTGCGGCTGTCCGAGGAGCTGCTGGAGGAGGAGCGTCGCCGGTGCTTCTTCTTCCTCCTGCTCCTGCTCTCCTCCTCCGTGTCCGAGGAGCGCCGGCCCATCTCGGATCTAGACAAAACCCAAACGTTCCCAGCTGTTAGAACCTCTGCTGGCTGCGCTGTGTTGGTTTATGGTTATAGAAAAATAAAAAATAAAAAATACGTGGTTCACTCTGCTCCTGTTCCCTGCGAGCAGAGCCCGACCCCTCTGGCTGTCCCCTCCTGTCAGGGAGTTGTGCAGAGCCACAAGTTCCCCCTGATCCCCCTTTTCTCCAGGCTGAGCCCCTTTTCCATCTCCATCAAGAATTCTCCAAACCCTTTCCCAGCTCCCTCAGGAATTCTCCAACCCTTTCCCAGCTCCTTCAGGAATTCTCCAGCCCCTTCCCAGCTCCGATCCCCTCTCTGCTTCTCCTCTTCCCAGCACAGACGGGTCCAAACTCGCTCATTTCCTCCATCCAAACTTTTGCCCTTCCTCACACTTTTGGCCACCGAGGCAGCACCTCCTGATGCAGCGGGGAGAGCCTGGAGCAGAACAAAGCAGAATTCACCATTAAGGACACAGAAACATTCCTGGAGCCAGCGCCGGGAGCTGCAGGATGGAAGGGAACATCCTCCCGGAGAAGGGCACGTTCTGCTCCCGGCATCTGCGCCAGCAGCATTCCCGTACCGGAGCTCCCAGGCCAGGCCCGTGACACCGGGACCGCCCCGGCAGCTCCCGGAGCTCGCTCACCGCCAGCACAACCAGAGCAGCTCCAGGGGCTGCTTCCCCTCAGGCCGAGCCCTCAGGCACCGCCCGGCAATCCCCGGTGCGGCCGGGCCTGCCCCGTGCGGGGCTGCGGCCGCGCACACCCGGCCCTGCAGCGGCCGCGATCCCTCCTGCCGTGCCCTGCGGGGGCCGGTGCGGCCGCGTCCCGTGTCCCGTGTCCCTCCTATCCCCCCGTGTCCCCTCTGTGTCCCCCGCTGTGTCCCCCGTACCTGGCGGAGCCGCCGCGGCCCCGGTTCGAGCGCAGCGCCTTCCGGGGCGGTGAGCAGGCAGCGCCAATCCAGCGCCGAGCGCGGCCGGGCGGCCACAGCCATCGAGCGCCGAGCCATCGATGCGGAGCGCCGGAGAGCGCCCATTCGGGATGGGCGGGGACCGGGACCGGGACCGGGACCGGGACAGGACCGAGATCCCGCTGCCCACGGGGGATGCAGAGCCCACGGAGCTCTCCCTGCACCGTGCCCAGCGCGGCAGCAGAGGAGCGTGGGTGGTCCCGGGGTCGGGGTCCCGCTGCCCACGAGGGGTGCAGACCCCACGGAGCGCTGTCTGCACCGTGCCCAGCGCGGCGACCCACGGGCGTGACAAGCCGAGGGTGATGGGCAGGAGAGGAGCGTGGGTGGTCTCGGGGTCGGGGTCCCGCTGCCCACGGGGGGTGCAGAGGCCACGGAGCGCTGTCTGCGCCGTGCCCAACACGGTGACCCACCGGCGTGTCCCGCCCGTCCCGTGTCCCGCCCGTCCCGTGTCCCGCCGCGGGTGACAGGGATCGCGCGGGGACAGCGGCACGGAGAGGTTTTCGTTACGTCCCGAGGAGTTAAAGGAGGGTCGCCGTTTTACGGCACCGAGAGCCGCCCCCGCGGGCTGAGGGCAGCGCTCCACGCGGGACGGAGTGCGCCGGGCTCGGGTGGGCACGGACCGAGCCGGGACCCGCCGGGCCGAGCGGAGCGTCCCCCGGGCAACGACCAGAAATACAACAGAACGATTTCATCGCTTCGCTTAATTCGATTTTGGTTCGTTTAACGCGGGGTCCCGAGCGCGCCCTCCCCCGCCACGGGAATGGAGAAACGCGCGTGGGGATAAACGAAATGTCAGGGCGGAGGGGCCGGCGAGGGTCACCCAGCCGGTCAGCAGCCGCGGCGGGGTCGGTCACACCGAATCCCCCGGTGCCCGATACCCCCGGGATCGGAAATGCCCCGCGGGAGCGGCTCCCGGCGCGGGGGGACCGGGACTCGCTGCCTGTCGCGACAGGCTCGCGTGTCACCGGCTCTGAATAAACGGCGATACCACCCCCGGTACCGAACCCGCCCCGGTAAATGAACGCTCCGTTATGTGAAGTCACCGCCCCAAAGGTCAATGAAAAATCGATACGCAGGCAAGAGTTAAAACAATCCTGAATAATTTATTACAATTTAGCAAAGGTGGGAGAGAGGCGAGTTCCGTCAACAAAAGTGCTCCGTGGTGGGATTTAAAAAAAAAAAAAAAAACAAAAAAAAACACCAAAGGGAAAACAATATTAGCGATATTGGCGTGTTTGGCTCTAATTGATGCCACTCTGCGCGCCCGCTCCCGACGCGGCCGCGCTCCTCGCTGTCATCGATCCCCTCGTTTATTCGGGGCATTCGGGTGCCCACGGAGGAACTTTTGCTGCTCCCGCGGGGCCGGGGCCGCTCCGGTTGGCCGTGCCCGGGGCTGCGGGGCTGACCCGAGCGGTGCGGGGCGGTGCGCGGAGCCTGCGCGCCCCCGCCGCCCCCCCGCGCGTCCCGGTGGCCACTCCCCCGCCGCCCCGGCCCCTCTCCGCGCCGCGCTCGCCCGGGACCTCGCGCACGGTCCCGCGCCTAATTAAATTAATTAGGGCGCAACGCGCGGCGGGCGGGCGGTGCCGTGGCCGCAGTGCCCCGCGGCGGGCGGGCGACCGGCGAGGACGGGAGGAAGGAAAAGGGAGGAAGGAAGGGGTCCATTCAGAGCTCCGAGGGGAGGTAATTCGCCGGGAACAAGGGGCCGGCTTTGCAAAGTATAAATAGTGCCACTTCAATCGCGGCGTCGCTATCAGACCCCGGGAGCCCTGCACGTCGGGCGGCACGGCCCGGCCCGGCTCGGCACGGCCCGGGGCGCCGCCGCCGCCTCCTCCCCGCCCCGTGGATGCCCGCCCGGGGAGCCGGGGCAGCGCGCCCCTGAGCCATGGAGGAGCTGACGGCGTTTGTCTCCAAGTCGTTTGATCCCAAAGCCAAGGAGAAGAAGGAGCTCATCACCTACCGCGAGGTGCTGGAGAGCGGGCCCCTGCGCGGCCCGCGGGAGCCCGGCGGGGCGGCGGCGGAGCCGGGCCGGGAGGACACGGGCAGCCCCGCGGCGCGGCCGGCCGGGCGCTCCCCGCCGCGGGAGCCCGACGCCGCTACCGAGAGAGCGGCCGAGGCGGCCACCCCCAAGCTCAGCGACGGTAACGGCGGCACCGCGGGCTCCCCCTTCTCCCGTTCCCTTTCCCCTTCCTCCCCTTCCCCCGTCGGGGTCGGTACCGCCCGCGGTCGCGGGTGGACGGGGGTTCGCGGGGAGGCTGCGCCCGGCGGTGATGGGCGGCTGCCCGGGGCTCTCCCAGCCGCGGGAGATCGGCGGCCAGCCTCGAAGTTTTTAGATTAAAAATATTTAAACCCGGATTTAACTTGCTCAGAACGCGATCTTGTTCCCTCCCGTTCGGCATCCCACGGGAAGCCGCGCCGCCAACGAAAGCCCGGCCCCGCGGGCCCCGTTCGTTCCCCCGCGGCCCCGGGCTGCGGGGACTCGCGTGGGGCCGGGCCGCGCTGCCCCCGCTCAGCCCCGCGCTTTCCAGCGGATCCGCCCGCGGATGTTCCGCGCGGTACCGGGGGCCGCTACCGGGGCCGCCCGGCGCTCTCGGGCGCTGCGGGAAGCGGCCGGGCCCGTGCCCGTGCCTGCGGGGACCCGCGGGTCGTGCCGCCCTTTTGTTCGGACCGGCGGAGCGCCCGGAGCATCCCCGAACGGGGGATGCCGGAATAAAGCGATCGGTACCGCGGGGGAGCCGCGGCAGGACCGGGCCGGGCCGCCCCGGGGGGTTCGGTGCTCGGGCCCCGCTCTCCGGCCCGGGGCGCGTCTCTGGCCGCCAATTGACCGAGGAGAAACGAATCCCGGGGGAGCGCGGGGCGCGGAGGGGCTCGGCGGAGGCTCCGGGGACCTGTTGCTGAGCATCCCCCGGGAGCTCCGGCGGGGCCGGAGGGGAGGGCTCGGTGCGGGCCCCGTTCCCCTCGTAGCGGGTACCGGAGGCAGCGGCGGAGCCCGGAACGGCAGCGGCCGAGGCGGCCTAGCGAGGCCCGGGCGCACAGGCCCCGCTCCCGGTGGCCCCGGGGGGCTCCCCCCGCATCCCCCCGGCCGCCGGGAGCGGAGGGAACCGGGCGAGCCCCCGGTAGCCCCGGTGGCCCCGGCGCCGCCGCTCTGACTGCTGTGTCGTGCCCAGTGTCCCCAGAGCTGAAGGAGCGCAAGGAGGATGCGAAAGCGATGGAAGACGAAGGGCAGACGAAAATCAAGCAGAGGAGGAGCCGGACGAATTTCACCCTGGAGCAGCTGAACGAGCTGGAAAGGCTTTTCGACGAGACCCACTACCCGGACGCGTTCATGCGGGAGGAGCTGAGCCAGCGGCTGGGGCTCTCCGAGGCCAGGGTGCAGGTAGCCGGGGCTGCGGTGCTCGGGGGAAGGGAGAGCTCGGGAAGAGCCGGGAAGATGATGGGGACGAGCCCCATCCTTCTGTCAGGGAGAGGAGGCAGCTCCCCGCTTCTCCCAACTTCATCCGGCAAACGTGCCCGCGGCCTCGCTGGGTTTTGCCTGCCCGGGATTTGTCTCCCCGCGTGTCCCCGTCCCTTCTTCGTGCCGTGTTTTATCTCAGCTCCGCCGTTTTTCCATCCCTGCCTCGGCAGCCGCTCCCGGTGCCCGCCTCATCCATGGACGCACCGATTCCCGACATGGATGTCGCGACCATAAACTGAATTAGAAACCGCCAAGTGAAACAATGCTATAGATGCCTTTTCGGTCCGTTTCTCCTCGTAGTTCTTAAATGTTGAAACGGCACGAAAATTTCAGCGAGGCGCTTTGTTCGGGTTTATGAAACGCTGAAAGTCTGGGATAAACCCGAGATATTTTGAGCTTTCTCCCCTCCCGGGAAGCCGCGGCTTCTCCGGGTTTAACCTGAGCTTTGCACCCTCCCAAAGTTTTTTTTCCGCACGGGTTCCTGGGCTGCTTTCTGCGAGTTTTGTCGGGATGAGCTGAGGAGCGGGGAGGAAGGGGAATCCCTCAAATGAGAACAAATGTAGCTGCTCCGGTGTATTTCCGTTCTGAAAATAAAAGAAGAGAAAATGATGGTCATTATTTGTTGGAACACATGGAGAAGTTTTAGGCCCCGAACATCTGCAGCTGGTGGAAAGTATCGCTGTAACAGATACTCCCCCTCAATCTTTGTGCTCGCAGGCACCATCTGCACCCAAGTATGCGCTCAGTCCTTGGGGGCTTTCCCTGCACCGTGGAAGGTTGTGAGGACAGAGGCAGAGCCGGCACGGGGAACCAAAAAAGCTCAAAACGAGCAGCTTTTGTCAGAGCCTGAACCATCAGAAAAGAAAAAAAAAAAAATTAAAAAGTCTTCATTTTCCTTCTTTCCTTCCCCCACTCCTTTTTTGTTTTTTATTTGGTTGTTGGTTTTGTTGGGGTTTTTTTCTGCCTTCTCCGTTGGTTTTTGGTTGGTTGGTTTTTTAATTGTGTTTGTTCGTGTTTTTTTTTAATTTTTTTTTTTTTTTTTAATTTCTGTTCACCAAACCTTAACAAAACCAAGGCAAAAAAGTTGTTGGCTGTGGAAAATGGAGCAGGGAGGTGCTCGACAAAGGAGGCGGCGGCGGCGCAT